GTTTTACTGGTATTTAGAAATAACATTACTGCTCTCCTGAGACTGTCTGTTTTATGTTCTGCAAAACAGGAGGTGAACTGTCTCCAAAAGAGCATCAGGAGTTAAAGTCCTACGTGAATCATCTGTACGTCATCGAGAGCCAGCAGGCCCTATTTGAGCTCTCACACCGGATTGAGCCTCGGGTGTGAGCCCCTCCGCCTCACCACCCCTGTAACTGCAGCACTTTGAGCTACGGGAATGTCCATGCCAAGCACGTTGCTTTCCTGTGAGAAAAGAAGTTGCTGAGTTTTATCAGTATACCCCAAGACATTCCCAGGAAAGCCAGCCAAAGCGTGTTCAGGAAGCAATGTCAGCCACCGGAGAGGGGGAGAGGCCTCGCCACGTTCCTCCCAGAGCAAGAAGGCAGCAAGAGACTCAGACGCATTCTTGAGATGGAGAAGTCTGGTTTCTCATGAGCACGTTGTTGATCCAGTCCAGTTTTCAATTTGAGATGTGCCAGCATCAAGACAACAAAACGCGTCTTGACGTATATAATGACCAAATATTTCAGAAAGAGCGTGCATGAAACAAGGAGGAGTTTTACTTTGCCTGGTGTTAGAACTCTTTATAGGCTATCAAGGAATACTTCTTTAGAACACCTAAAGACAGTGACAGCATCTCCAGATTTCCAGGGAGAAGGAGAGGTCTCTGTCAGTAGGAACTATGACATCACCGAAAGCCACTTGTGTCTAGGGAGTGAGTGAGGCCCGCAGCTGGCACCCATGCTCTGACTTGCAGATGAGAAACATCGAGGCGTGCACTGCTTTGCACCACAATCACTTACCAACACATGCTTGCAGGTGAAATTAGTTTCTGTACAACGTGATTTGCAGCTATAGGCAAGGTAGATAAGTTGCTTTGCCGAGAAGCAAAAATAGTAATCTTTAAGAAATTGACTCAGTGTTTAATTTCTGGGGATTTTCTTTACATTTATAAGCAGGCTCTTATCTTTTATTAGGCATGATATGATTTTTGAAAAAGCACGGTGCCTGACACGTTGTTGGCGCTCAGTAACTGCTGATTGAGGTGACCGAGTGACAGAGGTCTGCATTCTTGTGCCTGATACCTCACGTAGGTTCCTTGCCCACAGTGCGGGATGACAGCAGCCACACAGGGAGGTGACATGAGGTTTGACATGTGAGGCGCTTAGCACTCTCTGTGAAAGCTAATGAAAAGTGCCCAGGAATACCCAAATGTCTGATTTATGCTGGAGCCTCAGAAGTCCTGTGGTCCACCTACCAGCCAAAGCAGGGAGCCTTTCTGTAATCTGCCTTTTGTTAAATCTCAAAATCTCAGAGTCTTCTGAGTCCTTTTTTTATTATTCTCATTTTTACCAGTTGGGGCCCATCTATTGCCCAGACACGGAGTCTTGGTGTTCTCACCATGCCTGCCTGTCCTCTCTGAGGGACCCCATCAGCCCTGCTTCCTTTTTGTACTTTTTGTCCCATCAGCACCTCGTTTATCCTCATTACCAAGGCGTGCCCAGCGCTTCCTGACATCTTTATAGCACTGCTGTTTCCTGGGCTCAGGAACCACACTGAGCTTGAGATATTGCTGGAAGGAGCCATGCAGAGGAAATGATTGGAAGGACTTCCACGGAGATTCAGTCTTGCCCAGCATGTAAAACTTCACTCCTGGAAACTTACAGGGTTTTATAGAAAGGCACCATCCAGGGCTGGTCTCTCAGAGAAATGCTTCATGCTGCTGGTAATGGAATGAGACCCACTGGAGGGGAGACCAGAGCCATCAGAACTGGGGGTACAGACATCCCTCACGGCTGAGCAAACACTCCAGAGCCCTCCCCTTGGCAGTCACTGAGGATGGCATGGGCTTACAGCACATCTTTTTCCTATTCTAGGAACTAGGGTTTGGACAGTCTAATCATAAGGCCATTTTGACATTGTCTCTATGTTTTAGAATTTAAATTTTTATTTACATTAGCTCTACATTGCTCCAAGGCAAGCATTGCTTTTAGGCGACTAATTTGCGAAGAACTATTTCAGCATAGTGCATGCTGCGTAGACCCCAAGTCAGATATGTGTGCTTGGCCAAATGAAGCTACACAAACACTGTGTTTAAACACATTTTGTGTGGTGTATTCAGGGTATCTTGCGTGGCACGGGGGGAAGTAGGCTGGGGAGAGAGTGGTGCTTGCCCACCACGTCCTCCCACCATGATCACGTTGCCCTCAGGGTGGCAAAGAGAAGGGAGGATTTTGTTTAGATTTGCTTTTCCATCCCTGTCTTCTGAATGTCTAAAATCTCTAAATCTTTCTGAAATTTAATAACTGTCTCCAGAGATTTCCTGGGCAGCAACTCTCAGAAATTTCAGAAGCTTTGAGGAATCTTAAATCTAGAATTACAGAATTGAAGGCAAAATTGTGAGAACCAGATTTTGCTCAACAGGAATTCTAACCAATCTGCGCTGTCCAACACTGAATGGGCCACGGTGGGACTCACATGTTTCCTGGATAGGCCATATTTCCTGTCTGGGCTATTCACCAAGGCCACCAAGAATAGGTTTTATTCAGGCTAGAAGGGTGGACCGGAAGATGTCTAAGCTCTTTTCCAGCTCTGTTTTGGGTTTTTATGGTTGCACAGAATCTCCATTCACTTTGAAAATCTTGCGTAATCTGCCACCTTCCACAGCAGGTGGTGCATGGTCACTTCTAAGTGGGTCCTCTTTGTCACAGCAAACTCTCAGACAGCCCTGCGGGCCTGTGGCTGTGTCAGCATTCCAGTAAACCAGCCCTGCTTTGGAGTTAGCACGGGACAGCAGAATGCAGGCTCCTGTAGGCAAAATCACCTTTCCAATTTTTTTTAAATTTTTACATATACCTATGCAGATGTTCCATAGACTACAGTGTTTTAAATTCACTCTTTGTCATAATCTGTATAATTGCCAATGGTCGTAGTGATAAAAATTATGACCCACATTCACTTTTTTCAGTAAGCTTAATTATGTTTAGAATAAACTCATTTTCCTAGACCAATACCCGCAAGCAGGTAGTGCAGAGCATACATTGAATTTAGAAGCACGAGAATGAAGTAAATGCCCACCCCTCCCAGCCTGCAGTTAGGATGTTGCATGAATGCATACTCGCCTCTGAGTGGCGGAGGAACAGTGGCATGAACAAGAGGGCTGGTGACAACTTCACATCCCTGAAGCTGGGCTTTCCCCGCTTCCCAGATCGCAGCCCTGCAGTGAACAGGGCTGTCCTAGCCAGCGCGAACACACAGATCTGGGACTGAGCGTTCCTGAATGGCACAGCCAATCCAGGCTTCTCAGAAACTGGGCAAAAACCATTAAAACGGGGAAGATCAGGTCCATTGCCATTGTCCAACACAGGATTTCTTTTAAACGTTTCAGAGACATGTCCTTAAAATTTCAGCCTGCTTCTTAGTGAGTGGGCCAGTTTTGCTTACAACCGGTAGGGGGAAAAAAAGTTTTTAAAAATTGCCAAAAAGTGAGATGAAAATGTACTACTGTATAAAGCAAAGCTGTATATACTAAACTTTTTTTAGCAGAGTAATATTTATTTGCATAGTCTATTTATTGTATTCGTATTACACTGTTATTAAATATTGGGATGAAATCAATGACCTGAAGCAAGGAGTCTTGCCTTTCAATGTATTATTAATTAGGACTGCTGTGATATCGTCAGCTTGCATTAACAATTAGAAGATAGAAAACCCGCAATCAGGGTGTCTACCTAACTTCTCAGGGACTACACTTTGTAGTTTTCCACCATTATAAGAGCTGGTAAATATGAAACATTTGTTGAATTACCAGAATTGCCATTAACAGTGTTTCCTTTCCCATATTTCATGCTTTCTGCCTCTGTATATAGGACTGTGCTGTGTATTTATCGAAGCTAGTAAGCAATAATTTATATGTAAAAATGGCCAAGCAATATAAGGTTAAAACTTATATAAGTAACCGTTACCTTACCTTGTATTTTCAAGTGTTTTTTAAAACTGCTTTTCCAAATATAAACTATGTTAAAGATATTTTTCATGCCTCATAGTTTCTTGTTTTCTCTGTGACGTTTGTGGGCTAAATATTGCCTGTGTACTGGCCGCATTTGATGATCAGGTGTTTGGAACTCAGAAGTCATTTGTTCACTGACGGAGCTGCAAGGAGGTGAAGGGGTTCTCGGGCAGCCCCTGGAAGCCACAATCACTTATCCTGCTGTTGGGTTATTGCAGAACCTAACACCGTACGTTGGCAAGTGCATCAGTTGTTCTCCTAGGCTGAGATTTGGGTAACCTGACAGCCACTGTCATCACCTCACCCCACTTGAGTGGAGCCACCATATTGAACTCAGGAGTGGCCAAGTGCCTTGCTTTGTCTGATGAAAAATGGGGAGATGTGAGCTCCAAGCCCATTGGTGATACCCTGGGCCCAGAACAGAGGTCCTGACAGCAGAAGAGCCGGGGGTGGATGGATGGAGGGGCAAGTGGGCAGTAAGGGCGTTCTGGGGCTGTGGGAAGACTGGCTGCACATACACTAGCGTAGACTGTATTCGTGTTCAGAATCTTCTCTGTCTCTGTATAAACAGGAGATTTGTGCATCCTGCCCATCAAGGTGAAGCTTGGCTTTTGCCATGTGGTACCTCCTCCTTGCAGGAGGATTATATATCTCACCATGCTGAACTCAGGAGCGGCCAAGTGCCTTGCTTTGATGAAAAATGGGGAGGCGTGACCTATGAGGCTTGTATGTGGAAGCTTTACGAGGTAGCCTGTGCCTGCCATGTCTGCTCTGCTGGGAGATCTGAGCTGCCCCAGGTAAAGGTGTCTGTCCACCTGGGTCTTGGAACAAAGGCAACACAGAGCAGAGCTCCATCTTGTGAAGGACACGTAACTGGAATGAGAAATGTCATCACTAGAAGCCACTGAGATGTGGGAGTGGTTTGTTACTCAGCAGAATTTAGCCCCAGCTGATGGATGCAGTCTCCCAGGGAACTCCTTTCTTGGTAAATTGCCCTTTCCCTCTGTCCATGTGTGGGCAGAAGTATTGGCTCTGTACAGTAAGGATGAAGCCACCTGTTGTCACACATCCATGGAAAAATCTTGTCTTTATATTGGGAATGGTAAAGAAGACCTAAAGACAATTTTCTTGGGCTCTTGATCACTGGGACATGGCACTTCTATGAGACGAGAAATGAGAAAAAAAAAATGCGGGGACATTGCCTCTAAGACAGCAACCCAGAGCAGAGAGAGAAGAAGACTGCTGAGCTTTACTGCTTTTGTCCTGGTCCCCAAATCACTTCACAGAGACTGACCCCAAGGGTCCTCCAGGAATCAGGAGCAATGCAGGAGATCAGGGGAGATGGGAAGCCCTGGGCTCCAGGTTTGGAAGGGGACAGGAGAGGAACGGGAAGTGCGCACTGCTAAGGATACAATGGGATTTTCTTCAATTACAAGTGGGAAAGCCGGTTGAATAAGGCTCAAGTGAATTCAGAAAGCTGTTCCTGCTCAAATTAGCAAAACTCGAAATGAGACTTCTGGTCCTAGCCCTGGTGCTCTAGCTGCAGAATCTGACTCCAGGGCATGAGGCTCCACATGGATCCCTCAGGAGCAACTTGTGTATCTGCTTTTCACTCACGACTAAACAAATGACATTCCTAAAGCTTTGTATTTGTTAATGTTCTTTAGTGAAGTATTCCTGCTACTGCCTGGAAATTTTCCCCTAGGAGGAGAACAAGTTCCCATCATGGATTTCCCCAATTCCTCTGGGAGTTTCCTGCGCTCCCAAGTGTCAGCATGGAAGTGGGAGGGTGGAAACGCCAAGCACTCCTGATTGAACTTTTCTTCTCCCAGGAAGACCTTGCACAGCAGTCCCGGCCTTGGAGGCTGGCTCTCCTGAGATGCTGCCATGGGAAGGGACTGTAAGCCCCGCTCTCTGGAAGGCTCCTTTCCTGCTCAGACATTTGGAGGTTCCCAAGTTGTCTGTGTGTGGATAGAGTCTGATATTTCTAGTTAGAACTTGAGTGAAAATAATCACGTTCTGAGAAAATCCCTGCAGTGGTCACTCTGTTCTGGGAGTCGTGACCAAAAAAAAAAAAAAAAAAACCACAAACACACACAAGTAACAAAGCAGAGAGATTGAAGTCTCAGAAGCAATTATGCCGCCTGAGAGACTTGAGGCTGTGGCAAGATCTTCCCCAAGTTCAGCAGCAGTGACTCTGGTGTCCCCCGACTCTGCAGTCCCTTCCTCAGGGAGAGCCTCGGGGTGAGTGGTGCCACCCTCCAGCCAAGTCCTGCTGTGGAAACTGTCTTGACTCCCGGCCTCTGCCAGCCCTTTGCTCATGAGGTTCTCCACCCACTGCCCTTTGTCCCGCTTCCCCTACATGTGATCAGGTCCCACCAGTCCCTCACCTCGACCGTTACAGTGACCTTTGACATAGTCTTTCCCCAATATAACATCCATGCTGCAATCAAAAAAATGCTTTGTTCCTAAAATGCAAATGTCATGTTTCTCCCCAGCTCAACATCCTTTAATAGCACCCCTAGGCTGTAGAACTAAACCTCAATTGCTTACAAATTCTTTGCATTCTGGTCTCTTCTTTCCTGTCTAAGGCCAAAGAGATCATGCAGATGCCCCCAGGAAATCTCCCCTTGAACCTGATATTCCAAATGTGGTGATAAATTGATTCCTACTAACTGAATGCCTGTTGAAAATCACATGCACCAAACATTTGCTAAGTAAATAAGTGTGAGACTGACTTGCTATTTTCAAGCTGTTATATCTTAAAGTCAGACTGATGAGGATGAACATAGCTCTGTGTGTGTGTGTGTGTGTGTGTATGTGTGTGTGTGTGTGTGTGTGTGCATGTGCGCGTATTGGTCTTGAATGCAGGAGCCCAGGCCACCAGAACTGCTTTAAGCATAATGAACTCTTCCCCAACAGCCATGTGCAAGAAGGGATGGTCTCAAGGGCAATCCAGTGAGAGCTGTGCTCAGACACCTGGAAGATCCTTCCAGCCCATGGCTGTTAAGAAAGCTGGTATAGATCTGTGCTTGCTAGAACTCAACAGCTTTTTGGTGGCTTTTTTTTTTTAAGTGACTTGACTAATGTAGGAAATCAGAACTGTTCGTGTTCCTTTGTATTCAGTTGACCTGGGCCAGGCCTCAGAAGCTGGAAGGGGAAAGGCCGTGGGAAGATGCCAGAAAGGAACACCTCGCCCCTTCCCTGTCCTGTGTCCAATGCTGACTCCACAGTCCTGCCAGGAATGAAGGCCTGCAAGAAAGAACCAGAAAATCCCCTGGAATAGACACGTCAGGGCCTGCTTCCAAGTGCCAAGCCGGCTACTGCCGCCCCGACAGTAGGTGCTGGGTCTGCTTGGCTCCCCACTGTGTTCCTGGCTCCCCGAAATCTGGCACCAGCCTGCCCCATCCGCCAGGCCCTTCTCCTCCCACTCAACACATCACGCCCAGAGCTCCTTCCCTGCCTACCAAACAGAATCAGTCCATTCCAAAGCCTTCCTGGACCACCCCATCTGACACTGGGCCCCCCACCCCTCATCTGAATTCCTACAGCAGGTCCCACCTGTTACTCTTTGGGGGAACCACCTTCTGTTATCAAGACTGGGCGAACTGGTGAGAAAGTTCCTACCTTGCTCTTGGCTGCTGTTTCTGCATCTCATAAAATGGGGGTTTAAAATGGTACTTACCTCACAAGGTTGAGTGAAAATAAAATGAGAAAACGTGTGTCAAGTGCTTAATACAATGTCTGGGACCACTACACAATGAATGATAATTGGTTGTTATTAATACAGGGTACATGCAGAAGATTTACAGCCACGTTTTTACTCAACCATTGCATAAACACGGCTGTGGGCAAGTTACTTAATTTCTCTTATCCTTAGTCCCCTTCTTTTCCAGCAAGATAATAGCAACCTCTCTGTCACAGGGCACTTGTGAGAAGAAAAGGACAATGCATGTGAGTGGCCTTTGTACGTGCTAAAGCGAGATACAAATATGAGAGATTTCCTTTTGGAATCTCCTGTGCCTGCGCGATGCCAGGATAAGGCAATGGCTCCCCAGATGGTGGCCGATTTAGCTGAACAAAGATGTCTGCATGTAGCCTGCCAAGTTGGGGGAATACTAATGTTGGCATCGATGTTATTATTAACAGTCTTATTAGACCCCGGGCCTGTTTGCATCCTCTGGCCCCAGCCCACAACTTCTCTGAGGACTCAGTGGCGCTCTCAGTGCAGTGCTCTTCTGCGGCCCCATGCCCTTCCTTTCCCTATTGCTCCTCTGATCGGACTTCAGCCCGGGAACCCCCGAGCAGCAGCTCCCCACAAGCCTCAGGCTTCTCGTCAGCAACATGGAAGGAAGCATCACCACTTCTGACAAGGGCCTGAGAGGGCCAGGCTGCTCACTGTGCTCTGGTGGTGTCCTCTGTGGCTTGGGGAAATCTCCTGTTTCATTCAGAACTTGGTCTGCAAGCACACACGACTGAACCTGCACTCTGAGCCCTGGGCTGAGATAAAGTCCCCTTTGTAAGGCAGAAAAGCAGGAGGGGCAGGAGCAGGGCCAGCTCACCCTGGGCCTGATGTCTGTTACACTTGCATGGTCTTTTTCTTCCTTAAATCAACAAATAACTCCCCCTCC